TTAGTTGCACATCCATTGCCAGCGTATTGAGTTGAAAATTGTATATTGCTCACAGGTATTGGTGAACTTCGTAATCGCTGCTGGCCCAATGAGTACTGGCGCCATCGATAGTGGCTCCAATAACCTCTGGGCCCTACTGCTGGGATCTCGTAGAGTGCTGAAGCTCAGCAGATTGCGCGCATTAGAAGCAGGGTTCAGCCCTAATTTCGCCACTGCACTGGGCATTCTCGTTCACTTTAGGCTGATGCTTAAATTCATCTGCCTGCCAAACAATTATTAGACGACAAAGACTTGAAGAAAAACTGGCTTCCAAAGACGCGTAGATAGGCCCCTATCTCGTCAGTTTGGCCGCATTTTATTCACATAGTTTGTTCTCGAACTTTCCTTTCGACCATCTCCATTGTTAAATTAACCCTGGCACGTTTGGCCAGTCGAGCCAGGCCGACTTTGTCTTCGCCCACAGGATTCAAGTTCAAGGTATAATATCGATCGGAGTTCACGCTTGCCGTCTTGTCTGGCCTCCAGGTTTTAGCACTAATGCTTGCGCAGCGTTTCATCCCACTCGAAGACACCTTAACACTGCGAGTAGTTGTGTCCTTCAGTGAGTTCACTTCACTGCAGCTCAAACTTTATCTTGTGCGCATGCAAGCTCAGTCTTTCCCTCTCGCTCCCTCCTTCTCGTTCTCACTCTTGCTTTCTCCCTCTCTCTCCGTGCGTTAGTGACCTCGAGCAATTCCGATCGATCTGACACTGCTTTAGGCCTCAAGCCTGTGGGAGAGCAAATGACAGCGTGACTCGACCTTGCATTTTGAAGGAAAAGTTGGCTAGACGGAACGTGTGAATTGATCACACCAGAAACCGAAGGAGGATTGCTATGCAGAGAAGACTGTTGGATTGTATGAAGTTCTGTGCAAAGATATTGTCTGTCATATTACAGACACAAACAGAGCAAGAATTCATACTTTACGAAATAGCAGACTAATATACGTGACAAAAAAAATCCAAAAAATCGTCACTAGGGCAATTCTATTACGGTTTCCAATGGGAACACCTCACGAATTCCCTCCAGGTGATTCTCGGGAATAAAAAACGTAATTAGTCTAAGTTATTTAGGGAGCGCCAACGAAGTTTTTGCCACAATAAGATGAGTAGGTTTCACGATGCTACTCAATTTCGTTCAGATTTGCCTCCGAAAAACTTATCTCATCACTTGCTGGACGGGAATGCCCCTTCGACCTTGTTTCATCATTTCGTGGCGATGTCACTACTCCACTCCATTGTCAGGGGGACCTTCATTTCGAATGAAAGTGCATGAAGAAGAGATTCGTTGGTCGATCTAACCAGATGAAGACGGATGAAACTCGTTGTACTGCAGCCACTCGGCTTTTATATTATATTCATGTTGACGCAGTCCACGAGACTTCCTCCCTCGTTTCGGGTGAAAACGTGCTG